GGGCTGTGGGGGGGGGAATGGCCCATTTTTTGCTCATTTCTGCCCTCCCCAGCCCCCAGGAACTCTCTGAAAGCCTCCATAAGGGTATGCACGGCCATTTTGGTGAAGGGGGTGGGGCTTTAGGTGGCAAAAAATGCTGTATTTGGTGTATAAGACGCACCCACATTTTCAGCCTCTTTTTTGAGGAAAAAAGGTGCATCTTATACTCCAAAAAATATGGTAGACTACGTTTGAAACAGCCAATTTTACTTTTTGACTCTTCCTCTTGAATGTTCTGAACTTGTCCTCAGAAGCATTTTTAAAGTCTTCTAGATCAAATCCATTGCAGCCGAAATTGGACAGCACACTTACTCATTGGTTTGTTAGTCTCACATCTCACTTTCCTCAAAGACATCCAAGATGTGATCTCTGGTTCTTTTCCTCTTCTCAGCGGTTTCGCAATTATTTAATAATTCTGAAGCTGGACTGAGAAATATCAAAGCAAACTGGATAACAAGATGAGAAATAGCAAAATCATTTCAGGATAAATTGGAGGTTTGAATCTTTCATTTTGGATGTACTGGACACTTGTATTGTACATTGTGCAGAGCACAAAGTGCTTCATTACGTAATTTTATTAGAAGTTCCTTATTTAGTTTTAAGCAGGCTAATATTGGATTGGTATTATCTGTGTATTTTAGAAAAAGGGGCTAATGTTATAAGGAAACAGATCAGAGGTGGTATGCTGCCGGTTCTCACCGGTTTGGGCAAACCAGTAGTGGTGGTGGCGCAAGGCTCCACCCGCCCACCCTAACATCATCAAGGACCTTCTGCGCATGCGCAGAAAATTCTGTGGATTCCCAGATGTGCACGCACTCCCGCTACCAAACCGGTAGTGAAAAAAATAGACTACCGTCTCTGAAACAGATGGCGTAAGCCTTAAAGCCACATGCTGAGTTTGTAGTTAAGCTATTTGAAAGAGTTCTTTTCACTTAAGAGCTCAGTGCTTTTATATGTTTTTTACTTCTTCTTTGACAGTGTATGAATTTTTATTTTGGGTTTTATTTTTTCTGTTGCTCGGTCATTTTTTTTTAATTTTTTTAAAAAAGAATAAATAAATTTAAAAACAACATTTCAGTCCCTTTTAAATAACAGGTCTCTTACCCTTTTCCTGGCTTCAAAACAAGAATATTCAGTTAACAATTTTGGTCTTTGATAAGCTTATAAACTACAATGAAATAGAAATCTTTTCAGCATGCATAGTGTATACAATCCCTCAGGACAGGCTAATTTTGGGATCAAACAGTGCATACCTCTACATTGGCCCTCCAATCAACCGCACCTGTGAGGATCTGAGCAGATATGATTACGACTTCATTCAATCAGAGCTGGCAGCTGCCAAAGGCTTCAGTGTAGACAAACTTGGTAAGCATCTGACTGTAATCATTCTCCTGTCGAGGTTTGTAATTTGAAACTTGTAACAAGGTGCTGTTTTTTTCATTGTAAACATTGTTCATTGTTTGAAGATCTGTTCAGTGAGCTAGGATTGAAGGGGCTCCATGTCTTAATAATAATCAGAGAGACTAACAGACCTATCCCTCTATTCCATGCAGCATTTTGCAAAGTATGGAACTGGGACATGAACTTGTAGTTGACAGGCGGGCACCATCCAAAATCTTAAAGTAATACTGTGCTTAGGTCATTGTCTCATCAACAAAGGGAAGTTTGCACAATATGATAGTCAATGTAAGCTAGCAAAAGATGTAATCCTATATATGTTCCAATAAGTTATTAATTTCTCTCAAAAATAAATAAATGCAGGCAACTTTATTGGTTTAGTCTTGACCCTGGGCTGCTTTTCTGAAAGGTGCTGCAAACAGGAAGGATGGCAAGCCAGATCCCAGTGTCCTTGCTGCATTCCATGATTATATTAAGTTGATGCCATTGGTTGCTGAAGCAAATCAGATGAGTATAGAGTTGAAGAAGGTATGGCTTGAATTGATGCTTCTCTCTTTATTATATGTTAGATTTTTGGGAGTTGCAGCCCAGCAGTTATCTCATGATGTAAGGCAGGGGTGTCAAACTCGCAGCCTGATGCCAGATGCATCACGCATTGGCCATGCCCACCCCAAGTTTAGCGAAGGGGGGAAATTGTGATACGTCACGTGACAACGAAGTGACACCACGAGTTTGACACCTCTGATGTAAGGGAAAAATGGATTAGAGCTAGTTTATAAACAAAATAGACATGTTAGTTAACTTAAAATTGACTGACTATAAAATTTTTTTATTGCTGTGGGAATAGTTCTGAGAAACCCAGTCACCACAAGATGGAAATCTTGTGTGTGTATTTGTCTCATGTGGAACTGTGGCACAGTCCATTCTTGGCACAGTTGTACGTGCTTAGGGAGAACATGAGTAGCTTGAGGGCATCTCTTGATTCAGTTATGTAATCTATTTTTGTATTGTTATTCAATAAATAAGAACAATAATGTTTCTTTACAGAATAGGGTATTGTTGTGACTGTCAGCATTCCAAATATCATGCAGAATTAAATTAGAGTCCAAGGCAAAACTTTCATCAAAGTTCCAATTTAATAAGACAGACATGTTGGCACATCTGTGGAATCCCAAATCTAACAGCTTCCTGGGATTCCACCCAGTTGAAAGTTCATGATCTTATTCCCACACCCATAATTCCATCACATGGTCCAATCTTCTTCGGCCATGCTGGCATCTCCACCCAGCTGGTTCTGGTCAGATGCAGAGGTGCGGAGACAAAAGATGACCTTGGGCTTCTAGAATGGAATGACAACACATTCCACAATACTACTCCTTCTATTCCCCCCTCCCAATTACTACACTAATGAAACAGCATAATGAAATAATAGAGTGTGTGGCAGGCCAAATATCCTAAAAGGAATATAACTGCTGGCCTGATAGTGACTGATTAGGCTCTCAAATAAATAATGTTGCAGAATAATTAAAGGAACCTAACATTGGAAAAGCATTTAGAAATATGTAGACACAAGAATATCCAAGAGCTTTTGGTAGCTTTCCACATTTATGCCAAAGTACCACTCAACAAAAATATTATGTTGAGCTTTTCTTTAACAGGACCTAAAGTTAGAACTGAAAGTGAAAAATCTAGCATCCTCGGACTCCAGAGGTTATGACCTGCAAAAAGAGATCATAATTAAAGTAGAACACAAAGTTACTAACCAGGTACGAACCTACTTCTGCATGAGTAGAAAATTGCATTATTGCAAGAGAGCATTGAATTGTAGTCTGAGTTTCTTGTGAATGTTCTTTTCCCATCTAAAGGCATTTATGGTGCTGTGATTGGTCTCATTTTGAGTGAGGTTGACCCTAGTGCTGAAGCTCCAAATTAGCTGTTCAAATGCAAAGAAATATTTTATGATATTGGATTTTCTTGGTATTCATGGACAAAGATCTATGCGGCTTCTGTCTTCTTTCTTCTCCATGTATTTATTAAAGCATATGTGTTGAGATATATCCATAGGAAAAATATTTCAAATATACATGCATAATTATCCAGTTAGCTGTTAAAAAAAAGAAGAGATATTAAGCTTCAGACACATTGCAACTCCTACCTAGTTCAAATAAAACTGAACTCTGATGGTCATCCTTTTTCTTCAGAAAATAAAATGCCAAATACCTCTAGGGACTGTTCACTTGGAAGGCAGATTATTTACTTGTTAATCCTTGCTTATTTTTTATTAACAAAAGCAAAAAGTAATGATCATGTACTATGTGTTCAGCCTCTCTTTTCTTAATTAGGCTGGAAGTGAAGACATACATTTATAACAATTTCCAGGACTTTTGATCCAAGCAGAGATTTCTGTCTATGCTGCTCTATCTTTTTGAACAATACATGTGGTTTTCAGAGTATAAAAAGTTAAGACAGAATAGAATTGGTTTTTGTAGGTATGGATTTGGTCAAAACCCAAGTTCATCAACAGAAAATTTTTAATGGAAGAGCTTTACCGGCAGTTTTTAAATGGAGAAGATGTACAAGTTGACAAAGAGAGTGATCCATTTTGGGATCCTGTGGAGGCAATTCATCTCGGATCTGCTCATATCTGGCTCCAATCTCTTGCGTATTGCATGAAACTTGAGGAACAAATAGAACTTCTGAATTCTGAAGGAATGGAGGAAGCAATCCTATTGATCAACATTATCCCATGTATGCAAAATGGGAGGTAAGCATTTATGTATCATAACTGCAGGATAAAAATTGACCCAGTAAGGCTCTTCTCTGGCCTATAGAACTTGATAAGTATAATATAATGCAGATAATTTTCCTCAATAGTGAGAATAACTCAGAATTCAGTGTTAACAAGTCCAAATTTGGATAGAATGATAAATGGTTATTTGATAAAAGTGTCATAGCCCCATCGGAGTCTGAGTCCATGGAGAAGGATGATCCGGAGCTGCGGTCAATGGAAGTCGAGGGAAGAAGCCTCAATGGCTTCTGAGGAATGCAGGGAGGAGCAGGACGATACGCTTCCAAGTGCTAGTCGTAACTTATAAAGCCCTTCATGGTATTGGACCTGGGTACTTGAGAGACCG